TCTTCCTTTTCTTATTGTTTGAGAACTTTGTCAAATCTGCTTGTTCAGTATTTTAGCAAATATACTTGACCATGGCAATTACTCCACAACATAAAAGCAATTAAAGGCTAATTTCTACTTATGAATATATACTTTCTTCACTTCTCCCATCAATTTGTTTATAACATTTTTTTTTTTTTTACACTATACTACTTCTAAAGCTTTGCTGCTCAGTGTGAATGACTTTCATTACTATTGCTTACCAAGTCGGTAAGAGCCGTTAAAAGTTAATTTCTAATTATAGAAATTACAGTAAGGCATCTTACAGAACCATGTCTAATTTGATCAGATGAAATATAAACACTACTGGTTATAAATACTCGATTTAACTGTAGACTATTTTTATTAAAACTGACTCTACTTGTCATGGTTTGGTTTGGTTTGTTTTATGGCATATCAACCTCAATGGGTCATTTAATGCAGACAACTTTTTTTTTCCTGGTAATATTTTTTTATCAAAAATCAATTTCTGTTAATATTTTTTTCCTCAAAAACATATAGCTGGTAATATTTTTTTCAAAAACATATTGTTAGTAATATTATTTAAAAAAATGTATTGCTGGTAATATTATTTTTTTCAAAAAGATATAGCTGGTAATATTATTTTAAAAAATGTATTGCTGGTAGTTTTTTTTTTTCAAAAACGTATTGCTAGTAATAGTTTTTTTTTCCAAAAATGTATTGCTGGTAATAGTTTTTTTTTTTTTTTCAAAAAATGTATTGCTGGTAATTTTTTTTTTCAAAAATGTATTGCTGGTAATAGTTTTTTTTTTTTCAAAAATGTATTGCTGGTAATAGTTTTTTTTTCTTCAAAAATTTATTTCTGGTAATAATTCTTTACAAAGTATTTCTGGTATTAAAACCTATTTTTACAATTTTATAGTGCTTTTTACCTCAGTTTCAGGGTTAACTATTTGCCCATAGCTGGGATCCTAACAGGTGCTACCACCCCGGGTCAGGGCGAGCCTGGGAACATCAGCAATTAAGAGGTGGTTCCATACTCCTCAAAGCCTCCTGATCAGAGGCCTTGCTGTTGGACATAGTTTATCGTCTTACCCTGGACGCGGATGTAGTTTATTGTCATACCCAGGATGCAGATGTAGTTTATCATCATACCCAGGATGACACCTGTCATGGTCACCAAGTTAATATGACAAGCCATTAATGGTGATTTTAATTCTGAACTACTGTGAACTTGTACATCAGTGCATCTTTATTTAATAAAAATAATGCTTAAAATAAAGAGAGCTTTGTTGCTGAAGACATGAAACATCTTTAACAATTATAATTTGAGAAAAGGACCAAGAAATGTTTTGAGAAAGCCAATGAATAATCATAAACTGCTGCTATGCAGTAAATAATAACACTTGCTTCAATAGAAGCTTATGGGCTCAAATACCTATTGTACTTGTTACAACATTCACCTGGGTTGGTCGTTTTTGTTAAGCAGCATATCAGCACCTCTATGGATTATTTAATGTTGAAATTTAAATATTTTTGTACACAATTTTATTTATTTTTGGATAATAATGGTTTTAGGGATACAAGTCTTACTAATTAACCCATAGCTGGAGGCAGAAGAGGTGGATTTATATCTTTCCTAAGGGTATTTGTGTGTAAGTGAATATAATGAACCCAAATGGAATTGGAACTCTACTCTCCAGTTAAAAAATTTGAGCCATTATCCATTACACCACCCACACATCCAAGCTTACAGCATCTGGTATTTCCAGTCACTCATCTAGGTAATGATCAAGCCCGATGTTGCTTAACTTCGATCATCGTATGGGAACTGCTGTTTCAACGTGGTGTGGCTGTAAGCCCATTCACCTAAGATTGGTGGAGCCAGCTCTATTAAACAAATCTGCTGCATCATGAAGGACATGCAAATTCTTAGGAGTTTCAGTGGGAATTTGGATTCACAAGGAGTCCCAAGCTGGTTTTGAATTCAGAGTTTTCCTTCTCCTAGACTGGTTACCAAACAAGGCTAAAAGTCCAATCTGTCTTGCTATTTATTCATAGCTGGGGGGAAAAGAGATGGATTCATACTTTTCCCCAAGGATATAAATGAATGTAATGGATTTGACTGAAATTCTAACTCCAATTCCTCAATCTGAACAGCTATCCATTGCTCTACTGTACCTTTAGCATCATGATACCTATTGTCTAATTAAAATCAAGTCATGCCTTCATATATCTATTCACTGATTTATCGATTTTGGTCTCTCCTCCTTCGACATAGCACAGTAATTTTCAACTGGGGTTGACATGGAAATTTTAAATTCCACCCTACTCTGTTACATTCAGTTTCACACAAACATCTCATGTTATCATAACAATGGTTGGTTGACTGTTTAGCAGCATACGGGTCATTTAGTGCTGAAATTCACTTTTCTTCAGAGTTTTAAAATAATAAAAATGATATATGTTATTCTACTTTCACAGTTGAATACATGGTAGATAAAACTTAGCATTTGTGCATATGCATGTTTCTGTGGACATAATTACTTGAGGCAGTGATATGTATGTTATATATAGTTTTGTTGGAAGTTATATGTCGGAATACAGTTTGATTTTAAGAAATTGTACGATATTATATGGATTAATATCAGAAAAAATTTGTTTCCTCTTGTTTGGTTGGTTAATTTTGTTTAGTGGCATATCAATCTCTATGAGTTATTTAATACCAAAATCTAAATATTTAACATACAATTTTATGGCTTCAACTATTTTGAATGCAATTGTATGCCTTCAACTACAGAAAATGTAGTCATTTTGCTATAAAAATCTATTTCATAGTGTTTTGTTTTTGTTTAGGGATTCACTATTTGCCCATAGCTGGGACCCTAACAGGTGCTACCACGCTCCTCAAAAGCTCCAATCTCCCAACAAGAAGCATATCATAACAGTGGAATAATTCATTAGTAAGTAGCTTCCTTTTTGATTCATACTTTCTTGAATAGACTTTTTTTTTTACTTTTAATTCAATTTTTTCTTACAGCTTGACAATAGAGTTAATTGTATAGATGAAATATATAAAGAACTTAAATTATTTATTCAGAGAATATAACAATTGCAATTGCAAAATTACTGTCATTTTTTTGACAATACGGTTTAACTAGTCTTTTCAAAAACACTGAGGACTAGATAACTTATCATTAAGCTCATGAGCAAATATATTTTACATATTCAATAAAATTAAAAACAAAAAAGTGAACATTGGTCGAAATAATTTGGCAGAGTGAGTGAGTGGGGTAAGGGTGAAAACAGGCATGTATATTTACCGTCTAGATTATTCAAAGAAATCATTTTATAGCTTCAGTACAATTTTTTTCACAATTTAGGTGCCCTAAGAAAGAAAGAAAGAAAAAAAATTCTGATATTTACAGGCATATGGTCACATGAATGACTGAAAGTCAATCACGTAATAAAACCATGACTCCATAATGGCTTTAGTATATTTGCATCTGTTCAAATCTGTCAACAGACATCAATACACTAAGTTGAAACCACATCTGTTCTGTTATTTGAACTGTGTATGTACATATACACATTAAAAAAAAAAAAAAAAATCACTTCATTTTAGGTGTAGTTTTTAATATATGAAAATCTTAACACCATTTACAATAACAAGTTACAAAGAAACAATTTTTCTAACCTGTTTTGTTGAGTATTTTTTCTTTTGTTTTTTGTACTTTTGTCATTGAATTTAGAAACTGAAATTTTGCAGATTTTTACAACTTAAAAAAGAAATAATATACAAAATATATATATATATCGATATATATATATATTACAAAATAAAATGCTTGAAGCATTTTAAACACTCCCAAAATAATTACAATAACTACTATTTCATTAAAATTTTTAAACAAAATTTATAACTGACTTTTCATTAACAGGATTTTTTTTCTTCTTCTTCAAATCTCTTGTAAATGTTATCTACCATAAGCAAAAATGAACAAGCATTTATTTGGTAGGCATTGAACGAATAAGACATTTGCTCAAAGAATTGAAAGGACTGCCAAGAGGCATGCTGAAAAATCGGGAATTTCAAATTTTCAAGTCTGAGTAACAATATTACCAAGATTAAAATTCATAATTTCCTTCTCCATTTCCATAGCTATATTAGCACCATTTCATGCAGGCAAGGAAACCACTGATTTCCTGGCAACAGATGGTTGAGCACCTTCCCACCTGGACAAAATTAAAGGCAGATTCATTAATTTCATGTCGGTAATGCATTTAACAAGCTGATATTTAAGTTAAATTTCTAATCATCCTAAGACTTTAAAGATGTATGATGTGCATAATTAGTGGGTCACATGCCAATTATTATCATGTAACCTTGGTTGGTCGAGTAAAATTAATAATCTGACATGGTTGCAGGAAAATCTCAACTTGGCCATATAAAACATACATACACAGACACACACACATATATATTTTTTTTTATGATATTAGTGGTCAATATATATATATATATATATTTCCAAGAGGATAGAATCCAGGTAGAGCTCAATGTCCAGGACAGAGCAAGAATATAATATAAAAGGTTGAAACCCTATTATTTATATTATTTATTACATTGGATTGTAATTCCAATTCCAATGTAATAAATTATAACCATGGAATAATAGTCTCAGCCTTTTATATTTTTATATATATATATATATATATATATATATATATATATATATATTTGGTTTCTACCTACTCTTGTACCCAGTTTAAGTCTTTCCATTTTGTTCCCACCCCCCACTACACATCAAACATCTTTCATATCTTGTTTACCTCTCTTTTTCTTTCCTTATTTTACGGTTATTTTACCATTGGGAGTGGTTTCCATGGTATCATTGAACACAACTGTTTTTTTTTCTTTCTTTTTTCCTACAATGAATATCGATTGTTCTTTGTCGTGACAGGTGAATGTCAAACAAAATTCTCGTCGGAATGTGTACAAATTAAGAAAGAGTCCATGAGACGAGGTTCAATCAGTTGCTTCACATCATTGGGTTCCATACCGTGGTTGCCGCAGATGCTACAGATTTTACGGAGAGCCGCCTGGGAAAGGAAAAAATAGAATAAAATAAAGCATTGTTAACAAGTATGATTTTGTATACACAGACAACTATATGGGTCAACCCAATCATCTCACTTTTTTTTTTTTTTCTTTAACCCACTTCTCACCCAATCTATTTTGGCAGATATTTCAGCAGAACCATATTGCAGCACCTGATCAGGGAACAAGTCCCAGTGACTGTTCATTATGTGAAGCGTCAAGATTTTAAACTTTTTTTTTTTTAAATTGTTAACATTTATTCTATAGAGTGTAGGGAATTTAGGTTTGGTTTGGTTTATGGCATATCAACCTCAACAGGTTATTTAATGCCAACAAGATTAGTTAGATCCAGTGACAGGACCCAAAGTGTGAGAGTTCAATACCTGGCTAAGGCAGTGGAGAACTTTCACAGGGAAATTAACAGAAGATAACTGATAACTGACATCCATTAAACATGGCACGTGAAACTAGAACAGTCTACCCCAGTGAGCAAAATAAAGGGTTCAGTTCGACATTCCAACCACCTGAAGAAGTCCAGAGCACACAACAGCCAAAACGTTGTAATAAACATGGCAACAAAGATGAGGACAATAGTCTGAATAATGTAAATAATGTACATAATACCTCATCTCAGAAATATAGACAGATATTGAAGATTTTTATTGCTGGTAATATTTTTTTCCAAAAAAATGTATTGCTGGTAATAATTTTTTTCTTCAAAAATGTATTGCTGGTATTGAAACCTATTTTTACACTTTCATAGTGTTTTGACCCCAGTTTGGGGGGTTAACTATTTGCCCATAGTTGGGACCCTTACAGGTTCTACCACCCTGAATCAGGGTGGACCTGGGAACACCAGCAATTAAGAGGTGGTTCCATGTTTCTCAAAACTTCCTGATCAGAGGCTTTGCTGTTGGACGTAATTCATCCTCTTACCCAGGACACTGTTGGGAATTTAGCAATCACAGGATGTCAGAAGAACCCAATGGGAAACCGTTATAAATCTAACCTAATATGTGGCATCAATAGTTGAGAGAACACAAACAGAAGGATGGTAGAGTCAAAAGTTATATTTTTTTTATTATTTCACCCCCATACAAGGCAGTAAAGCCACTAAGACACAAGGGATTACTGAGTGTGAAAGAATAAGAAAAAAGAAATTTTTTCACAATCTGTAATCTCTTACACTTTAGGCTTACAATCACATATTGAAATACTAGTTAATGCATGATCACCAAAGTTAAGCAATATTGAACCTGCTCAGTACATAGATAGGTGACCTGTAAATTTGGATGGTCAGATAGTGTAATGGATAATAGGTCGGAATTGTTAATCAGAAAACCAAGTTTCAATTACAGTCAGCTTTGTTATATTCACTTAGGCCCAAATACTCTTAAGAAAGATATGAATCCACATATTCTTTCTCCAGCTATGGGTTAATTAGTAAGACTTGTATCACTAAAACCATTACTATCTCCCCATCCCAAAATAAAATTATGCACAAAATATTAAGATTTTGGCATTAAATAACCCATAGAGGTTGATATGCATCTAAACAAAAACAATCAACCAACTCTTGAATTTTAGTGGTTTTAAGGTCTTGCTTGGGGTGAAATGATTACAAAAAAAAAAAAAAAACAGCTAAAAGATAGGATTACAACAAAATCAACCAAAGCAGAAACTGCATTGATAGTTACTAACTACATACACGCACATAGAAATATGGTCACATTGGATCTCAAGGATTTAGTTGATTAGTAGGTCAGCAAGCAGCATTGTCACAGTGCAGATCTGGGTTTTACAATAAGGAGATGGTTATTTTCTTTGGGTTGGACAGGTTTCATATCCAATTTTTGGGAGGTGAATAAAACTAATTTTATCTTTACACTTTAAGTACAGAGGCCTGAAATAAATATCTTCATTCCATTCCACATTCATAATCAAGATGTTAACATTCCACACAACTTCAAATAAAAGGTTAGGAAGGAAACTGCCATCAATACTAGAAAGCATGATAACAGCTACTTGAGTTGGGAAACCTATTTTCTTGATAAACTGTATTAATAGAAAAATGTTATAAATTTCACCTGACAGCAATACTGGATGATTGGTCAGTGAATGCCAAATGTCTCCTTATAGGGAAATGGCAAATATTACCATTACCATTTTTGTTCAGATACTGCCACAGCCATCAACCACTGCTAAGAGAAACTAGTACATGTATCAACCACATGTAAGAAGAACCGTCCTTTCCAGACCATTGCAAACAATTACTACATGCTATTAAAATATTGGATACTGTAATGGGACCTCCATACATAACCACATATTCATCTGCAATGGGTTGATAGTGAACAACATAAATTATCTAAACTCATTGAATTCATACAGACAACTCATCTGATGAAGATAATTCAGAATTAACTTACCAAACAAGCAACAAGCACAGCATCACTGTTGTTCCGAGCCTCAGCATTTCGACACAATTTTACCAGACGAGGAATACCTATAAAAAAAAAAAAAAAAAAAGACAAAAAGCAAAAAAAAAGGTAAATAAGAATGTGCAAGGTAAATGAAAAATAGAATAAAATTTTAAAATTAGAAAATGAACAATATATTAAATATATTTCATTATTTGGCTGCTTAATAAGTAAAATTAAAAACTAACTATATCCTTGTGCAAATTAACTGAAACTAAACAAATAATTCCATTATTATTTACTCTTTCATATTTTCCCAATGAAAAGTGACCCAATGCAAATGTTAGTACTTCATATATCCATTCCCTGAAGTCATTCCTTGCAGATTGACCACAGATTTTTGACTGGCTTTAAATCAGGAGAGTTTCCAGGCCAGTCTATAATACTTTGATTTGCTCACTGGAAAGGCTTGCCAGTGTGTTTGTGCAGCGTTAGAATTTTTATATAAAATAAAAATAGCTGGCCACTTGTATTCAGACGCTTGCTCAGGTATATTTGTGTCTTTGCCCAACACCCGCAGAGCCTACCAGTGGTTTATACTGCAACTATGCTGAGCAGACCTTAGTTACAGTTTCTGGGAGAGAGTGTGTTATCTAACATGATAAACAATTTCAACAAGGCCAGCATGCTCAAGCCCTCGACCACGATGACTTGTGGCTTCATGCTAGCACAGCTATTGATGACCCGCAAGGCTTGGGTCAACCTGCGGCATGCTTTTCAGGCATATATTCCAAAGGTGCCACACGCTGAGATCGACCTTGATCCAGTCCAATAACATCAAGAAGTTGCCTTCCTGACAAACTGACCATGGTGAGATTCAAACCCGGGTAGCATGGTCAGAAAGCTAATGTTCTAACCACTCTGCCATATATATATATATATATATATATATATATATACACACACACATATATGCGATGGATAAATTGTCATCTAAATATAAAAATGAAAATGACACACACACACACACACAGAGGGTGCGATGGATAAATTGTCATCTAAATTACGCAAAAATGAAAATGACACTGACATCTCATTTTCACAGATATATCTTGAAATACCCAAAGAATAAATTTATTCAATTACATCGCCATTGGCTTCAACTATGGCCTCCAGGTGACTTCGGAATCTTTTGCAACTCTCTGAACAGTCTCCTTGGTTAACTTGGTGACTGCTGCCATAATCCTTGCCTTCAGTTCATCTTTTGTGTTACAAGAAGTTTTGTTGGTCTCTCATCCAACTGTGCCCAACACATAATAATTAAGTGGGTTGCAGTCTGGGGAATTAGGTGGCCAGATGTAAGCAGACATTGTCTGACAGTCACGATTTGGTTTTTCTTCTTGCGTGGCATGGTGCAGTGTACTGTCCCCAGACATAGGTTCTTCCAGCAGCCACCCTCTTGATCCATGCCAGCACTACCTTCTCAAGGCACTTGATGTAGGTTTCCATGTTGAGTCTGAAGCCCTGGGGGAAATGAATGGAGGTATAACATCACCATCACTAGTAATCACTCCAAACACCTTCATAATCACCATTAGGCTCATCCAACTCTTTCCAAATCCTGTGTACTGTTCTCAGACTGACACCTAAACACTGAATTGTTCATATTGGAGCTTCTGGCATAATTGATATACTCCATCTGAGAATATTTATTTCATATATAAAATTAAATATTGAAAAATTACTTAGATTTAAGTTAGGAATATCTGAACAGTGACGTTCCATATCACGTGACGTTCCATATCACGTGACGTCCGCATCTCGCGAAGGACGCTACTTGCTAACAAACAGTAATTTTAATTTATTTGAAACAAACAGTTGTTTCTGATGAAAGATTGAGGACAATTTGAAATATCAAATATATATATATAAATAAATACTTTCATAAAATAAAACATTTTTTTAATTTGCAACTTTTTCTATATATATATATGTGTGTGTGTGTGTGTGTGTGTTTAAATAAAAATCTCTGAAGATAAACCATCTTGGAAATCAATTTTCTATCTTTCGGCCATACACCAAAATATAATTTCCATTACTGCAATTAAAACAATTTGTCAGTCAGTGTGACAAAGGGTTCAAGAAATGATTTATCCTTATTCTTTAAACTAATATTTTCTTTTTTTTAAATCAATATTACTGATAGCGTCACCATTTCAGTAGCTGAGCTTGCAAAAGTTGAAGCAACATTTTTGTGGATCAGATAAGGAATTCTCACCACGGATTATCATAAGTTATATGAACCTTAGAAAGACTGCAAAAGTCATCAACTGAAATAAATATGGTAAGCAAATGAAATATGACTGCTCCAAATTGAAATAATTCCAGGAATAATTTAATGTGTCTGTGTGAGATATTTTATATGACTATCCAGATAGTAACTAGTCATTTAATATTAGCATAAAATTAGCCTAACACATTATCACCTGAGTTCTTGTCAAAGTCTGTTCAACAGCCTTTTCACTCTTCAAAAGTCTGCAAACTCCTCTTAGGATTGCCATCAGATGCATGCAATTTGGGTGCCTCTTCAATAAGTGTTTTAACAGAGGACAGAACATTGAAATTCCAAGGCACATTGGGATAGCCAAAGATGCCTTCCAAAAGCTAAGCAGTGTATTAAGAGACAGAAAAACTTTGTTAGAAACAAAGAGTACTGAATTGTTATGTGATAACAATCCTCCTATATGGTAGTGAATGCTGGACAATCTCCTCAAACATTACGAGACTTGAGGCAACAGAAATGTGGTCCTACAGAAGGATTCTGATGATGCTATGGACCGAATATGTGAACAATAACAAACTTCTATAGAAAATGGAAACAAAAAGGAAATTTATATTTAACATCAGGAAGAGACAGAATATTTAGGTCACATAATGAGGAAGGAGAGCTTGGAAAATCTGATATTCACAGGACAGATTTGAAGGGAGAGAGAAAAACAATGCATAACATTTAATGAAATTGGATAAGTGGATGGCAGAACAGGGTTTAGGAGAAATAACAAAAAGACAAAATTTATCAAGGGCTACAAAAGATAGGAAGTTGTGAAGAGCCATGATCGCCTACATCCTGAATCACATGAAGAAGGGTACTTGAAAGGATTGCATGATGTTTTTCTGGCCACTATCATCTTAACCTCTTTAAGTGTCGGGTTATATTCATGAATATGTCACAGTGCCCATTATCTTTCCACATGAGCTTATAAACTACACTTATATATCGTACTCTTACTGCTCCTACCTGATGCACTAGTTCTCATACGATCACTGAAGTTAAGCAATACCAAGCCTGGTCAGCACCTAGAGGGTGACCAATTGGGAATATCAGATGCCGTACACTTGAATATGTAACGGACAATGGCTCAAATTTGGAAATTGAAGAGCCATGTTCCAATTCCAGTCAGGTTTATTATATTCACTTACATGCAAGTATTCTTGCAAAAAGGATGAATCCACACCCCACCAGCTGTGGGTTATTTAGTAGGACTTGTATCAATATATCTTTATTATCTCCACTGCAAAATCTTACAATCTAAAAATATTTTCTGGCTTGAAATAACCTAGCAAAAGTTTGATAAGTTGTAAGAAAAAAGCAAATCATCTCAATCAGACTTACAACAATCTTCTTTAGTAGCCCTCTACCTTGAGTGTCTCTTAGGTCTTCCATAAGGTGAACATTAGTAAAAAAAAAAAAAAAAAGTAATGTTTTGTTAAATATCTTCACAAGATTATGCTGATACATTCATCTGGTTATTGTGAATATGAGTCACAATAACCCACTAATTAACCCATAGATGGGAGAGAAGAGGTGAATTCATACTTTTTTTTCCCAAGGCATGAGTAACCCAAGAGGAGAGGGTTAAGGCACAGTAAAGTTACATCAATGCCAAAATTGATTTTCGAGAATTTCAAAATGACTATACGTTCTGGATAGAATCTCTATAAACAATAAATCATACACTTTAATAGAAATTATAAAAATTAAGACCCCAATCTATTTCTGGGTTTTGCTTCCTGATAAACATACAAAGACCATTGTTGTCTTGTCTATGAACAAGGACCATTGTTGTCTTGTCTATGAACAAGGACCATTGTTGTCTTGTCTATGAACAAAGACCATTGTTGTCTTGTCTATGAACAAAGACCATTGTTGTCTTGTCTATGAACAAAGACCATTGTTGTCTTGTCTATGAACAAAGACCAATGTTGCATAGTATAAAAACAAAGACCAGTGTTGCATAGTATAAAAACAAAGACCAGTGTTGCATTGTATAAAAACAAAGACCAGTGTTGCATAGTATAAAAACAAAGACCAGTGTTGCATAGTATAAAAACAAAGACCAGTGTTGCATAGTATAAAAACAAAGACCAGTATAGCATCGTGTAAGAACAAAGACCAATATAGCATCATGTAAGAAACTGCATGTTACTATATATTATCATATACTGATTTATTCAGACTGTTGTCCTAATCATCGTATTATAGTTTCAAATGCTGTACACTTGGCAATTATTTTTCTTCTTAGGTATGAGTTATGCTTTTGAATGAGAGACAGGAAAAAACAGACAGATAGCAGGTTAGATTCCTGGTTATTTGCCAGTCCCACCAGTGTTTAATATTTGAGATGTGATAAAATCAAGATTAAATGCCGATTTTCAATGCAGGCAGTGTAACTGGCCAGCAAGCTCACCCACATCTAGAAGATCTTAATTATCTGGCTACCTCTGGCTTTGCACCATAATAGACTTAATAAATACCATTAACTTACTAAATTCAATTTAGAGTTAGTAATAAGGTCAAGTTAACAGACAAGCTAATTGCTTTTGTAAATAATAAAAGAGAACCACCCATATCCATTAAACACCAGAATATTATGGAAGATCCTTTGGCACATAAAAAACTGTCTGCATTCTTTTGTCACTCACAGAACATAAACACCGAAGTAGAAAAATACAGTTAATAGTTTGGGTAAAAAGTTGATCTTGTTTTTGCTAGAGGGAATTATGAATATTAAAATAACTTATTATTATGTTATAAATCCAGTATTAATTGGTAAAATTGCAGTAGAAATTTGGCATTAATTATAGGTTTCTTAAAAATAAAAAAAAGAGGGGAAGGGATTTTTGATAGGTTTCTACCAACAACTCAGTATTGCTCAAAAATGATTCTGACATGGCAACAGTCACATGACTGAAGCATTAAAAAAGATAAAATTAAAAGTAGTCAAAATTTTTATGTATGAACCTCTGAAAATGGAGACAAAACAAAATCAAAAAATGAAAACCAGCGAGACTTGGTGGGGGGTGGGAGGGTTGTTGGCAAAGTTATATGAAGATCAGCAAGACAGAAGGGCAAAAAGATATGAAGTCCAATGTGACAGGGAGGGGGCAAAAAGATATAAAGTCCAATGTGACAGGGGGGGGCAAAAAGATATGAAGTCCAATGTGACAGGGGAGGGGGGCAAAAAAGATATGAAGTCCAATGTGACAGGAGAGGGGGCAAAAAGATATGAAGTCCAATGTGACAGGGGAGGGGGGCAAAAAGATATGAAATGACAGGGATGGGGGCAAAAAAAGATATGAAGTCCAATGTGACAGGGGGGGGGCAAAAAAGATATGAAGTCCAATGTGACAGAGGAGGGGGGCAAAAAGATATGAAGACAAAAAAAAGAGGCTGGCATATATGGATGAAGGCAGGTGAAAAATTTTAAGAGAATCAAGAGACAAAACAATGAGAAGTAAGTAAGTAGAGAGTTATAAACTTAAATGCCACCTAAGCATAAAATTAGGAACATAGCTGAAGTGGAGCGAATGTCCTACCTGCGGACTCTGCAATAAGCTGTGCGTGCCGTTCCTCTCGGCTTAGCCGCGTCAGCGCAATGGCAGCTTTCTGTAGGACACGCTCGCAGGCGGCAACCTCCACACTGTTTCTAAATGATGCTGGGTCTTCATGAAGATAGTTGAGGAGAAGGTCGATGCCGTTTTGCTGCGTGATTTCTGTCTGGCAAGACTCCAAAACGGCCATATTGGCAAGGATGCTGGCAACCTAAACAACAGAAGATAAAATAAGCATATTCAATAAAAAGATAAGTATTCTTGATTGCCTTCTGTATATTAAAAAAGATTGTTGGACAGGTGCCAAACTATAAAGAGGAATACCAAAATTAGCCGGAAATCTATGACTTGTCCATTATTCCAATGATGGAAAGATACCGAATCCTTTCAATTTTCATACTAGTTTGTACATTCAAACATTTATTTTTATTATTCTATTCCCCAAGATTAGGATGATATCAGAGAGAGCATTACAAATACAGAAGGATGTACAGGCATTCCTTGATTAATGCACATTCGATTAATGTGTTTTCACTTATGGTTAACCATAGTAATTGAAAATTGATTTTTTTTTTTTATAGTTACCAATGTACACGTTAGCTGCACTAATCGAGGGATTTCTGTATATCTATGTTTCATAAACTATTCAAAAGCATTTGATAATCTAAGATACAAAGTCCTATTAAAATTTCTGGGAAAACTTGATTTATTTAGGTAGGATATTAAAATAATCCACAACTTATATTTGGTGCAAACATTGATTGAAAAGTAACTCCCTGTAATGTATGATGGACTCTCCTGTCTAGCTATAATTTTTACAAGATGGAAGAGTCCATCATAAATAAAATAGGGAGTTACTTTTCAATCACCCTGTAAATCAAAAATAAATTAAGTAAATACACAAAAAAATAAGAAGCGGTATTATAAAATAAGGCCATACCTTCTCCCCGGATTTATTCAACTTTTACAGTGAAGCAATCTTAAGAGAACTAGATTGTTTGATTAACTGATTGTTTGATTAACTGATTGTTTGATTTTTTACGGCTTATCAACCTCTTGCATCTTATCATATGTGGTCACGTATCATGTGACTTTTAAAGACCTAATTTTGAAGATAATTTTAAATAAATATCTATTATCATTTTTATCAGTATTCATTTTTTTTTTTTTTTACCAAAGTTCATATTAAAATTTCTCTATGTATTACATATTCCCATGTTAGTATTCATGTCTATACATTTTCTTTGTTCTTGAGAATTGATAAGAGAAATTAAAACCGTTTTTGTATATTTCTGAGATGAGGTATTGTAACTATTTATACTATTTGGACGTCATTGCAATATTCTCGACATTTCGGCTGTTGTATGCACCAGCCTTCTTCAGGATCTGTCTATATTTCTGAGATGAGGTATTGTAACTATTTACACTATTTGGACTTCATTGTTATATTCTCGACATTTCGGCTGTTGTATGCTCCAGCCTTCTTCAGGATCTGTCTATATTTCTGAGATGAGGTATTGTAACTATTTACACTATTTGGACTTCATTGTTATATTCTCGACATTTCAGCTGTTGTATGCTATAGCCTTCTTCAGGATCTGTCTATATTTCTGAGATGAGGTATTGTAACTATTTATACTATTTGGACGTCATTGCAATATTCTCGACATTTCGGCTGTTGTATGCACCAGCCTTCTTCAGGATCTGTCTATATTTCTCAGATGAATATTGTAACTATTTACAGAGACCTAATTTTAGATAAAGGAGCCACATCATATAGATATAAAATTAGCACTGCTGGCCCTAGTTACGCCGTTGACCAAACTATATATCCATTTATTGTATTCAAAATGTACAGCTGTATTTAAAATAAATATGATTTTGATAAACCTGATGTTTTACTTAACTGTATCTGATAATAATGTATGTAATATTCGCAAATATGCATCTTTTCCATTGTTTATAAGATGTTTAGGTGTTTCTTGTTCGGTTGTTTATGGCTGTATGCATTTACATATCGAGTATAGCATTACTAACAATACTTTTATCATTCTCTTACTTTTTTAACTTATTTAGAATATGTGACAGAGAGATAGAAGAAAAGAAGTTAGTCTAAATGCAATTTGGTCTCTCAAAAAAGAAACCTGTATGATACATAACATATATGATAAAATCATTTTTTATAAGTGAAAATTTGGGGGCCGCACAATATGTGAGAATGCGCATTACACAAGAATATACGGTAATCAGAAAAGAGTATTTTCATCTCTCTTTAGGAAACTGACTTTCAAATTTAGGAATTTCACTTAACAGAATCCAAAAGCATTCGTCACAATATCTGTAGAGTTTTCTGTCTGAATTTTGGTGGGTGAGGAGTTATTATTTACATTATTTATGTTCTGACTCTTGTCCTCATCTTTGTTGTTATTATCACAACATTTCAGCTGTTGTGCCCTCAGGGAATACTGACGTGGAATTCTGAATTGGACCATTTACTAAATCTACAGAGGTAAAGTGTTCTCATTCCATTGCTCATGTCTGGGGATGTGGTCTAATTCATATCACCAAATTCACAAACCAGCCTTTTAATACATACATACATACTGAGGTTTACTTGTAACTTGGTATACACTGAGGTTTACTTGTAACTTGGTATACACTGAGGTTTACTTGTAACTTGGTATACACTGAGGTTTACTTCTCACTTGGTATACACTGAGGTTTACTTCTCACTTGGTATACACTGAGGTTTACTTCTCACTTGGTATACACTGAGGTTTACTTCTCACTTGGTATACACTGAGGTTTACTTCTCACTTGGTATACACTGAGGTTTACTTCTCACTTGGTATACACTGAGGTTTACTTCTCACTTGGTATACACTGAGGTTTACTTATACCTGTGTATGATACCTGAGATATAGGATAAAATAGTTTTTTTATAAATGAAAATTTGGGGGTTGCACATTATATGAGTATGTATGGTATATTATTGAATAAAATGCATGTAATCTGGAAATCTGATCTACCAGACAACCTCAAACCAAGCTTCTTTTGTGCCAGTGTAGAGACGATTTTAATGTACGATACCACTACTTGGACATTTACTAAAAGTTTTGAGACTAAGCTTGATGGAATCTACACTTGAATGCTGAGAGTTATACCTAACATCTCTTGGACACAACATCTAACTAAATCAGAGCTCGATGTAGTAATCCCTATTTCTACAAACTTAAATAAATGCAGAATGGCTTTGCAGGACACTCTGGTGACCAAAATAAGAACTTCCAAGTGATCTAGTACTCTGGACACCTAACAACCATCTATAATGACCAACTATTTAGAGACACAGGATGTCACCCTAAGGTCCTTTCAACTTTTACACAGGACCATAATGGATAGACTGTTGAATGTCCAAGCTAGCTTGTATTGTATATAAAACCAGAAATCATTTTGAGATTGTAAGAGTGGGGTGGAGGGAGATAATCATAATTTATTAATACAAGTCAATACTAATTAACCCATAGCTGAGGGAGAAGAGGTGGACTCATACTTTTCCTAAGTACATAATGAACTTGACTGGAATTAGAAATCAGAGAGGTGAATTCCAATTCCAAGCCATTATGCCACCTGGACATCCAAGCTTACAGCATCTGGTATTCCCAAGTGGTTTCCCATGTACATACTGAACAGGCTGGATGTTTTTTAACTTTGGTGATCGTACAAGAACCGTATTTCAACGTGATACATCTGTAAACCTAAGAGAAGTAGAAATCCTACTAGGATTTATTATCGGTAAAGACAATTTTAAGATATACAGATGGTACAGTGTTGATGGCAGACGTCGAAAGAAAATGACATGAACTCCTAGACAAGGTAATAAAGGAAAGCAGGAATAAAGGACTAACCATCAATTGTAAGAAAGCAGAATATATGCATATCAAAAGAAATGAACTGAGACACAAGCTGCGAATTGGAGATGTCAAAATCAAGCAAATACAGAAGTTTAAGTATCTGGGAAGTGTTTTAATGGATGATGACACCGAAATTTGAAAGAACATTGGAATAACAAAAGATGCTTGATTTGGTTTTCTGCTAGTTTTAGAGATGTTTTTCTATTTTTAGTATTTTAATATGGCGTAGATTACTGTAGAAATTCCAATGTTCAGTTGTAACAACCATTCCAAAGTGAAATTGTTTTATGGACCACTAAAATATTACCATGGATAAACCAATTTGCTATTTTTTTGTGCAAATCCCCAGTAATGTTACATGGACCACCCCAGAGTCCATATGAACACCAGTTGAGAACCACTCTCTTCGATGTCTCGTCAAGGATTGATTCATTTTCTATAGCTAATCAATACTGTTATTTAAAGCAAGAAAATACTTTTAGATTGCAAGAATTTTTTTTTTTTTGGAGATAATGGTTGTTGTGATACAAGTCTTACTAATTAACCCATAGCTGGTGGGAGAAGAGGTAAAAATCATACCTTCCTCAAGGTTATTTGCCTGTAAGTGAATATAACAAACCCAACTGGAATTGGAACTCTGCTCCCCAATTAACAATTCCATTACATCACACACACATCCAAAGTCACAGCACCTGGGATTCCCAAGCAGTCCCCAACATACATACTGACGAGGATCAATGTTGCTTAACTTCATTGATTGCTATGGACACTGGTGTTTCAGTGTGATATGGCCTTAAATTGTCTCATCAATTTGACAATGCTTTTCAATATTTGTATGCTTAACTTTTTTCAATGTTTTTGCACTATTGACTTATTGAAGATTGGCCAGATTCTGGCTAGACTTGAAGTTTGGAAGACAAATATGACTTGTATACTCAACATATTACAAAAATTTCCCCAACAAGAAAACAAAACCCTAATGTACATTAGCTGTCTTTGTCACATAATCTGAATATTGCCAAACATGTTTGTATACACCTGAAAAAATTCAGGCAATTCAAAGTCATTTTGTAATTTATTTTCTTTGAAATTTAGTGGTACAATAGATCATTATATTCAGTTTATGCAATTCCAATTCTTAAGGTACCCCTCGTAAGCTGATCTGAATAAATATCTATATACAGATGTTTACTTGTAACTTAGTATATACAAATGTTTACTTGTACCTGGGTATAACACCTTCAACATAACTCCTCATTCCAGAAATTCAGACAGAAATTATCAATTTTTACACTATTTACATTTGGACTATTATCCTCATCTTTTTTGTTTCAGCCATTGTGCCCTGCAGCCTTCATCAGGTGTATATTGATCCATTTAACCTACACAGAATTTTGAGCTGGACCCTTTATTCAATCTATTTGGTACATTGTTCTCGTTCCACTGCCCATGTCTAGGTATATCCTGTCTAGTTTTATTTTTGGTACTGCTCAGTTGTTGCTGGGCTGACCAGCATTTACTCAAAAATAAGTCAAGACGAGGTGAACAATAACTGAGCAGGACTAAAAATAAAAACTAGATGAGATATTCCAAGACATTGGCAGTGGGATTAGAATAGCCTGCCCTGTAGTTTTACCTGGATTGAGATACACCTGATTAAGGTTGGAGAGTACGACGACTAAAACGTGATAACAACAACAAAGATGAGGATAATATTTTAAATGTAAATGATCTAAATAAAAACAATTTTGAACATCTCCTAAACATTTACTTTACTATACTAGTTACCTCACTACCCACAGATCCATTGATACATGGTTAATGTACACTGTGATACTATAGGGACAACAAAGAGAAATAGCCTAGGACATCAAACCCCTACCCAAAACATTTTCGTTTTCCTAGCCGAAGCTAACTTCAGTAATTGTAAAAAAAAAATGTTTTTAATAACTGTTGGAAATTTCAAAGTAATCCATGTCAGGCAGACACAGATTCAGTGCATGAAAACAGATTTTAAAAACCAACTTATGAAATAATTGTGTTTACATATATGAGTGTGTGCTGAAAAGTTCTAAGAAGGGTTTTAAACAATCTGATATTTGGTCAGACAAACAACTTTTAGGAACTCTTATCTCTCATTAAAAAAAGAAAAAAAAAAGATTCCTTTTATTTTGGACTATGTTGAAAATTGGGTATAAAAAAAAAAAAGTTACCTGGTCTTTTGAGAAGATAGAAGTGGCTTTGTTGAGATGACAGGCTTGGAGAAGAATTGACGGAGTCTTCAGATAGAGTAAAATGTCAGAAGCATTGCTGTCCATAAATGTAATATTTGCAATTGCCGCAGATGCTAACAGAAACACTTCACTGGATACAGTTTCATTACAAAGATCTGGAGAAGAATAAGTTAAATTCAGAACTAATTAAAAGATTATATACATTATATGTACAAAATTTGAATGGGTCAAATAAAAGACAAATTAAGTATTGTGATGAGATAACCCAACTTCCCCATTCACGATAATTGACGGACTGGTTGCCGATAAAGTACGACCAAAGTGAACAGTAAGAAAAAGGTCTTCGTTTGTTAACACCTATTGCGGTTAGCTTACTCCTGACTCTCTCTGTATTTTGACATACCTACATCCAGTTATAAAATTATTATTGAAAACCACACTTGGGTTTACTTTGTTTATTATATCTTGCACGAGATATAACATTAAGTAAAATTCCTTGATCAAGCTACTGAAAAACATTTTAACCATTTCACATTTCAAGGACTGTCAAAATTAACCTTTAGCATGTCACAAAAAATCAATTAAATTTCTAAAAGTGGGATAGCTCATATACCCATTGATTTTTATAAATATGAAAAAAAAAAAACTGGTTAAAATGTGAACTTGCAGTCTGGCTCATGACTGAAAGTTTGAAACTTGAATCTCAGTCACAAACAGTCGAAGTGTAAATAACTCTTCTAGCAGAGTTGGCAAGCAGTTACTCTGATCATTTTGGCAACAGAAACAAATGGAAAAATGTTTTAGAAAGCAATGTTTTTAATGCTAAAAAAAAGTGGGGCAGGACTAAAATAAAGATTAAAGTTTAAAGAACAATTCAGGAAACAAAAATAGAAATAAATGTATCTTACCTATAAGTGTTTTTAGAAGGTCATTCATATTTTCAATGAGACCAATGACAGGTAAATGTTGGTCAAGCGCGGGAGATGTGATCTGGGCGACCACACCAGCAGCCTCTCCTCGAACTTCTTCACCTTGCGCTTTATCAGACAGGATGTCAGCCAAACATTCAAGACCACCAACCTATTAAAAAAAGTGAACTAAATTAAGGGAGTGCAGTAAATAAGGAATCAACAAGGTAATTGTATATTCCAATGCTCAGTGCTATACAAGTTTATTTAACTTATACAGTGAGGTGATCCTAAGAGAAATAGAAGTCCTACCAATATTATTGGTTTGGTTTATGGCATATCAACCTCAGTGGGTTATTGTGGGTAATTCATCATTGGTTTGGTTTGTTTTACGGCATATCAACCTCAGTGGGGTATTGTGGGTAATTCATTATTGGTTTGGTTTGTTTTACGGCATATCAACCTCAGTGGGGTATTGTGGGTAATTCATTATTGGTTTGGTTTGTTTTATGGCATATCAACCTCAGTGGGTTATTGTGGGTAATTCAGTTTGCCCATCATTTGTGATAACTGAAATGGATTAAAGTGCTCGCTTTCTTTTCCAGTCTTCCGCTCTACCAACTGAGCGGTCACGAGTGACCTCTTCTTTATTCTCTCATTCTCATTAGTATGCATGTACACTGTCACTCCAACAAACCTTCTGCTGTCTTCCTCCCAGACTTGCTATTTATGCCTGCGTCAGGGGCAACTAAAATTTGCATATGAGACTTACTTCTCATTTGCTTGAGACTTCTGATTTTATAAATTCAAGCTGGTTTGAATTCTTTTTTTTTTTTTTTTCTTTGTATGTCTGCCTGTGATTTAGGAATTTTGGAATAATCCATTTCTCTTTTAATGCCGGTCAGTAAGGAGGTTTCAGGAGGTAAGTCTTCTCGTTCCTCACAAACGCTGACAAAATTTTTATTGCTGGTAATATTTTTTTTCAAACATGTATTGCTAGTAATATTTTTCCTTCAAAAAAATCTATTTCTGATATTTTTTTCAAAAAAGGATTGCTGGTAAAATTTTTTTGCCTAAAGTGTATGATAATAATGTATTGATTGTAATAATTTTTTTTCTTTTACAAAGTATTTCTGGTATTAAAACCTATTTTTACACTTTCATAGTGTTTTGACCCCAATTTCGGGGTTAACTATTTGCCCATAGCTCGGACCCTAACAGGTGCTGCCACATTGGGTCAGGGTGGACCTGGGAACACCAGCAATTAAGAGGTGGTTCCACGGTCCTCAAAACTTCCTCCTTGCTGTTGGACGTAGTTTATCATCTTATCCAGGATGCGGATGTAGTTTATCGTCATACCCAGAATGTACCAATATTATTGGTGGGGACAATCTTACCAACATCAGATACGCAGATGATCCCATGTTGATGGCAGACATTGAAAGAAAACTGCAGGACCTCTTAGACAAGTTATTAAAGGATAATGAGAAGAAAGGACTAATTGTAAGAAGACAATAACATGGTTATCAGCAAGAGGAACAGCCCAAGATGCAAAGCAAAATTGGAAATGTTAAAATCAACCTAGTACAAAAAAATCTGAAAGTTTTTGAAGTTTTATTAGATGACAGAAGATGTGACACTGAAATCTTAAGCTGTATTGGAAAAGCAAAATATGCCTTACAAAAGCTAATCAAAGAATAAGGTAACCAAAAAAGTACTTGCCGTTTTTTACATTGTGTGATAACTGTTGCACAAAAGATTGATCCATGTGCTGTGAAAGTTGCAGGAAGCAGTGCTCTTAACTGATACAGATGCGTTGCATGCACACATCAGTCAGCTTGAGCAGCAGCGAAGAAACATAGCAGTGTCAAAACAGTTCATTCGGGGTTGTCTGCCTTATGGCTTTAAGGTGGGCTTGTCTGCAGTTGCATCATCACAGAATGCATCAAGCCCTTAGGAAAATGCTGTGAGTGAATACACCACCAGGTATTGATTCCAAAAGTTCAGTTATGATGAACTCTGTAGTGGCCAGCCACAGGTCTTGGACGATGAGGCCCTGAAGACAGCCAAAGAGGAGGACAACAAATCTGTGGTGATTTTGCTGAATACTTCCAGGTTTTTGATGAAACAGTCAAACTTCACCTGCATCACACAGGAAAGGCATACAAAATGAGCAAGTGTGTACTGCACACATTGGCAAAAGCCAACACGCAACAATGAATGACATCCTGCTTCTTATTACATTCTCAGTTTCACAATGAACCCATATTTGATGGAGTGCTCACCAGTGATGAAATGTGGGTCCTGTATCACACTCCTAATTATGCCAGACATTGGTTGTCACCATGGGACACACTACCAATGGGCCAACCCATCATTGCAGACCTGTACCTGTTGGAACATGTGCATCAAGCGCTGAAGCAGAAGGTACCAGCATTGGTTAATCGCAAGGGTGTACTGCTCCTCCATGGCAATATCAGGCCTCATGTGGTGCAGGTAACCAGTGATACCATACGGCAACTTGGATGGGAGACACTAAATCATCCACCTGACTCCCCGAGACATTGTGCTAATAGATTATCCCCTCTTTTATTCCCTGGATAATCTCCTTCATGAGAAATCCTTTGCAAATGAGGTAGACTTTCAGCAGGCACTCACAGATTTCTTTGCGTCAAAGTCATCCTGATTTTTACTGCCAGGGCATTGTGCAGCTAGAGGCATGTTGGCAAAAGGTTCTGGATGTCAATGGGGATTACTTTGATGACTAATGTCAAATTTGTTGTATAACTATTTTTTTTTCTAATAAAGTAAAAATGGCAAGCATTTTCTTTGGTTACCTTATATTAAGAAACAGGAAAATTTCTTTAGAAGCAAAGAAAAGAGTACAGAACTGCTATGTGATATCAACCTTCATATATGACACTGAAGGCAACAGGAATGTGGTTCTACAGAAGGATACTGAGAATACCATTGACAAAGTATTTGAGCAACACTAGCATTTTATGGAAAATAGAAGCCAAAAAAAAATACAGACTTGTAGTTTGAAAGAGAAAGAGACAGTTGAAATTTCTGGGATGCACAATGAAGAAGGAAGGCTTGTAGAATTTGACACTCACAGAACATACTTACGGAAAGTGGGAAACAGTGAGTAGTAAGCTACCTAATGAGCTTGTGTAAATGGATGTTAGAAGAGGAAGTGGGAAGAACAGTAAAAAAGCAAACAAGAACAACAAAGGAAAGACAGTTGTGAGGAGCCATGGTCACCCACATCCTAAAGGGACCCATAATGAATATTAAATGATGCTGAGTTTGATGTTATGCTTCTTCACATTATCTATCAACAAAATCATGTGGTAACTGTAGAACTATTAGCATAGGACCTGTCACAAATGACAGGAATATTTAAATTATCTGTATGTGGCATCTAATGTTACTTCCTTAGACAAGAATAATAGGAGAGTGTCTATGCACTCTGTAAAATGTGTGTGTGTGTGTGTACAAATTATATATATATATATATATATATATATATATATATATATATATATATATGAAAAAGTTTTTTTTTCACTTAACTGGGAAATATTTCTGTCATGCTGACTTTAGAGTTTCATGGCCACATAGATATGTGACTATTCTTCGGAGCAGAGTTGAACTATTCTCTTGTGTTTCTGCATGTATTTGTAGTTTGTTAATTTGTTACTTACTGTTATAGAGTAGTTTCACAGTGGAGGCTTGTATTTCACTAAGTCGGTCCTAAAAAGGTTCGACGTACAAAACATTAGGAACTTGTTATAAAAGTTAATGACGCAGCAATCTAGTTGTGGTGGTTGATACTTTAATGTCCGACATCGACTGACTCACCAACTCTCTGAGCCCCTGACGACTGCTACTATTCCTACTTATTATATGTGGGAGAGTCTATTAATAATAGAATAGGTATGTTCTAGTATAACACTTACTAAATTTGTTTACTTATATCAGTTGGTAACGCCTTTTGCGAGGATCTTGCTGAATAGCCTAAGAAACAACATATGCCCTCTAGTTATTCCAGAAACACATTCTGATAAAAAGGCTCATCTCGTATTCAACAGCTCGCGTTCAGATGAGATTGCAGTGGACATTGGGGTAAAGAAAGGTGACATTCATGCACCAACGTGTTTCTCAATCTACTTTGACATGCTCGTATCACATGACTTCTAGGATTGTGAGGCAGGAGTCTCCTTGAGATTTCAGGAAAGAAGTTCAATCTCAGAAGGTTCAACACCAAATCTTAGAATTTTGATTGCCCAATCCAAGCTTTGCTGTATACTGATGATGCAGGCTTTATAGCCCACTTGGAGGAAGACTCGCAACTTATAATGCTTTTGAACTGAGGAAGACAAAAGTGATATTCAACCTTCCACATGATGTGTCTTGCGAAGATCCAAGACTACTTGTGAAAAATACCAGGCTGGATGTTGTTGACACTTTTTTATACCTCAGAAGTACTCCATCAAAAGACGGTTCCCTGGATGCCGAGATTTTTTCACACATTCAGGAGGCAAGTGTTGCATTGGAAAGTAGAGTTTGGCCAGATAAAGGCATTACTCTCATGATTAAAAAGTGTGTACATGGCCTCTATCATAACAACCTGTACTCCTCTGAAACATAAACAACATACTGGAGACAAATGACTCGAGTGATTCCCCCCAAAATGCCTGAGATGCATCCTTAACATCAAATGGTTTGGTTTGTGGCATATCAACCTCAATGGGTCATTTAATGTTGACAACTTTTTTTTCCTGGTAATATTTTTGTTTTGTCAAAAATCTATTTCTGGTAATATTTTTTTCAAAAACGTATTGCTGGTAATAATTTTTTACAAAGTATTTCTGGTATTAAAACTTATTTTTACACTTTCATAATGCTTTTTACCTCAGTTTGGGGGTTAACTATTTGCCCATAGCTAGGACCCTAACAGGTGCTACCACCCCGGGTCAGGATGGACTTGGGAAAACCAGCAATTAAGAGGTGGCTCCACGCTCCTCAGAGGCCTTGCTGTTAACGTAGTTTATCATTTTACCCAGGATGCGGATGTAGTTTATCGTCATACCCAGGACATACCAATATTATTGTTTATCGTCTTACCCTGGACACCCAAACACTGTTGGCCCCCAAAGATTTGAATGC